CAAAGAACTTCATCAGGGACGGTATATAAGAAATAAAATCAATATACAATTACAATATATAAAAAAACATCCTATTCCCCCCATCCCTAAGTCCTCTTTAAATAGGGCTAGTCCCCATGTTCATTGGTGGTTCCATGGGTGGTATCCAGTATCTATTGCTTGATTGGTCCTGACAGGGAGCTATTCAGCTGTTTTCCATCCTCCCTGTATTGCTGTAATTAATTTCGGCGCGTTCGAGCAACCGGAACCGGAAGTGGAAATTGTATCGCACCTCCGCGTTCCACTTGCGTTCCACATGCGTTCCACCCACGGCTAAAATGCGTTCCACCTTCATTGTGTCTCAACATAAATGTATAGTCAGGAAAAAACAATAAAGAACAATATATTCTATCTGCTAAAGAAAAAAATAGTATTAATAACCTTATTTTCTACATTTACTTGTGTTAGTTAATATAATCAATCACCATTAGATTACTATAATTAAACAGTATCACACAATATTTCTTAAAGTGAAAGGTGCACTAAAATTGCACAGTTTATATAATACATGTGAACCAATTGTCAAGAGACATTGTATTTCAAGTGTAACATACATAGCTAAACTATATGATATATATCAATATCTATTAATTATTAGTAAGTGGTTCGTGCCACGAAGTTTTTTAGAAAAATAAAAATAAAATAAAATAAATATTTATAAAAAAATAAATTTTAAATTTAAAAAGAACTAAATTTTATAATGTTCCTATAGAAAGTCTCCAATATTAAGTGGAGTTACACATATATCTAATATCCCAAATGGTTGTATTTTTACCCATTGATTGATAAATACATACAGGATAATGTTTTTATCAATACCTGTGTGTCTACAAGATACAAAAAGACCATACTCCCAAATATAATTAAATTCCTAAATATCAAAAAATTCCGACTGGTATATATAATATATATAATAAGCAATTCAGCTATATATTTACTTCTACATAACCCATATGGAAACAGAAGGCTGTATTTTTAATCAAAATAACCATCACCCACAAAATAATAATGTATAAAAGAATGAATATATGTATAAATAAAAAATCAATTTTAAATTCTAATCCAAAAAACAAACTAAGTCGATACCAATATTGAGGCCCTTCGGCTCTAGGGTATTCAACCGATGTATCCAAAAAGTCTCCCTTTGGGATAGTTTTTGGATTCTATCAACCCCTCGCCAGAATGGAAAAACTCTTTCAATGCCCATAAAGATAAATTCCCGAAAAGTAAATAATGGACAATTAGAACAATGGGCCGAAACTGAATGAGTTTGAAGTTTCTTCTTAATATTATTTAGATGTTCAAGTATTCTGACCTTTAAAATCCTCTTTGTACGTCCCACATATTGTTTGCCACAGGGACACTGTATTAGATAGACCACATAGTCCGAGTGGCAACCAATCTCAGATTTCACCTTGAATGTTTCCCCTGTGATGTTACTATGGAAAACCTGTATTTTAGACGATGATGTAGTAATACAGGCCTTGCAGATTCCACAGCCTCTAAAGAAACCAATAGTGGAAGAAGGATGAGTATTAGGAGGTTTGATAGCGTAGCTAGGAGCCAGTAAGTTCTTAAGATTCTTATTCTTTTTATAGATCACCATAGGGCGATCCGATAAAGACTTTCCCAAAACTGGGTCCTGAAGTAAAATGGGCCAGAATTCCTGCAAACTTTTTTTGATTTTATAATGGTCAGTATTGTATTGAGTTATAAAAGATGATTTAAAGTTTTTGTTATTTTCATTTATACTGCCCTTATCTTCTAATAATGAACTACGCTGTACCAAGCTAATGGAACGGATTTCTTTATCCAAAGAATTTCTTTTATAGCCTCTATCCATAAGCTTTTTCTTAATATATAGTGATTGGGTCTTAAAATCCTGAAGATTAGAGCAATTACGTCTGACACTTGTGAACTGACTTCTAGCTATACCCCGTAACCACGGTTTATGGTGACAGCTTCGTTGATGTACGTAGCCGTTACCATCTGTGGGTTTGAAAAAACATTTGGTCTGTATTTTTTCTTGATCACAAAAAAGGACCAGGTCCAAAAAATGGATTTCATATTTATTCCATACTGGAGTAAAAACCAAGTTGTACTGGTTGCAATTAAGATATCGAACAAACTCCTGAAAAGCAACCGAAGACCCCTTCCAAATAATAATAACATCATCAATATACCGCCGAGCGATATATTCTACTTCATTCTGTGAGTGCATTTGTATTCAGCGAAAAAAATGTGTTAATTGTACTTCACTATTTTGTGTATATTTTTCATGTTCCTTTTAGATTAATTTCCAGCCGTATCCCGAAGTTAAGGAGACATATCTGAAGGTTTCAGTTTATTTATATCAAGGAGTAGGAGTGCTAGGCCCTATTGAAGGATGTTCACTCTGCTCTCTGTCCAACTAGAGCAAAGCCCAGAGATTTTCCTATAGAAAAAGTATTTTATATAATAGGTTTTATCGAGACACTCATTTACATCTGGTGTCTATGCCTCCAAATCTAAGCTATGTAGTAATAGTTTTGCCATCTAGTTAGTGTAATCAGAGGTTCTCATGAAAATGACATGCATCTTCATTTTATTGGTGTGCATTTGTTAATGTTCCTCTGATTAAAGTCATCCTACATATCTCCTGTCATTCAGGTTGTCTCAAAAATAAGTAATTTGCATATCCTCCTCTAACCTTTATATTGTGCAGGATTTGAGCAATTTACATTTAGATAATTAAATTTCAGTGGGTTACCGCAACACAGTGAATCCAAGCAAAAAAATTTCGCCGGGGGGGCTTTCTCAAGTGTAGAAAGCTTGAGAAAGCCCCCCAGTTGGCGAAACGCGTTGTGTTGTTTTAACTTTTTAAAGCAATTAAAGTATATTTGGCATTCACTACTAGTTGTGTTTGTCCATTTATTATGCTTTTTATGCTTTTAGCTGCTTTTATTCTTTTTTTAACTTCTTCTGTTCCTGGCAAATAAAAAAACATATCGAATAAGGAAACTTTGGATACTATTCCTTGGAGAATCTACTTACCATCATATCCCTGGTGAGGATTATACCATCCAAGCGCTACCACCTGAGCAGGATCTATTGCTCCACCACATGCGAGTAGAATATTCTTACTTTTACAACCATCATTATATTGATTACAGTGAGCACTATTGTTTGCCATTTTTATCTTTTATATATCAAACCACACATTGAGGGACCAATTCTATGAGGAGATGCTGATTGGCCGCCTCCTCCACCTCGAGTGTGCCAGAAGGCCGCAGGTGGAGCCTTACATGAGTTATGCACGTCCCAATCAAGCACTTTCAGGCTCAACTTGTGCCCAGGTGCCTCACGAAGAGGGTAAGCAGGTTTGTGCCAACGTCTGCTAGTAGAAGTCAGATTTTCGGCATATTTAAGGATTTCCCTTAGAAGCTTCAGCAATGTGCGGCCATCTTGGTCTGCGATCAGGCCCTGCCCCCAGGTGTTTATTTATTTATTTAGTTATAACTTTAGTAGGGAGAGTTGGTTCAGGTAGACACTAGTGGTTAGATCACAGTGTCAAGGTAGCTTTTGGGAGGCTTGTGTGAGGCTTTTCATCTGCGTTTAGACCTGATTACCCGGTCCCTTGTTCTCTGGGGACCCTCTGCATCTTCTCTCTCCCTAACCTCATTTACACTACCTTCCTGTCAGTAGGGGAACTGGAACTTAGATGCTAGCTAGTACTCCAGACAATTGATCCCCTGGGCACCGTTTAGTAGATCTCCCTTTTTTTTCAAGTTATACTTTTTGTTTGCATATCCCTTTTTATCCTTAGATTGATTAAAGGTAGGGCCTCCCTTCCTCATTTCTTATACAGTGGAGCTCGCCTGATGTTGGTTTCCCTTTATGGGACTCTACACATCACCTACTCCTATTACCTACATATTTTGGAGGGTTACCCCCTTATTGGAGCTCCCTATTAGGTGGTTACAGTGGTGCAGCTCATGAGCCCTTGACTTGTATCCGGACTCCTGACCTGCACTCTGTTTACTTTATTTCTCCAGATCAGGGGTAGAGCCAGCAGCAGCAGACTGCAATAAAAGTAAGATTTTGCTATATTTAGAGGTGTAGGGGGTGGCCAGGGGGTTAGATGGTGTTTTTAACACTATAGTGTTACTTTAGCTTGGGAACTATAAAAGTGCAAAATTTAAGGTTTGACAGCTTTGCTCATTAAATGTTAATTTTATTAATATATCCATTTGTGGCAGTCTGCCAGAGTATCACCACCATGGATGCCCTTTTCCCAATAAACAAACACAAATAATCCCAAAGGTAAAGTATCGCCGATGTCTGATAACCCCCCACACATGAGCCAAGGCTTAATGCTGGGAGATGAATGGTTTATTTGGAGCCACACATAGCTTTTTATGCACAAGCCCCAACATGGGGTTTCTAACACAGATAAACAGGGAAATCCCTCCCATGATCCTCTGTGCCTGAAAGATAATTATCGGAATACACATTGTGAATTATATTATCTCTCAGGAACAGAAAAATCAAACATTCATGAACCCCACAAAAGTCACATAACCGGATAGCCTGGATTTGGGCAAACAATATATACAAAAATCACCCAGATCCGTTCAGTAGTTTTAGATCGCCATTGCGGGGAAGTTCTGACCGGTATGCCAAGAGGTTGATGCCCAAAATAGTTCCAGGGAAGTCGTGGCAAGATCCGGTCTTTGTTTGTGGGGTTGTGTACGAAAACCACATAAGTTAGATGAAAGCTGATGCGTGTAGAATGCTCCCCGTGTTCGGTAGTCTGCAACTCCCGAACGCTGTTCATGTAGATGTACTGGAACGGGCAGCAGGTCCATGGTGAGCGGTGTTCGCGGGAGTGCCTAGCCGAAATTAGTTCCAGGCAATCAGCGACTATGTCCCGCTGCCAGCATTCAGGAGACAAAATGGCCGCCATCCATTGTCCCAACCAACCATTATTAGTTCCTTTGCGGTTTTTGTACAAGATACTCAATGTTCCTGGGGTGGTCTACGTTCTGCAACCGAACAAAATAAACAAAGCTAAATTAAATATGAATCCGTTATATGAAAGGAGCTTAAAAGTAATGGGTTATTCCTTCCCACCATTGAAACTGTAGTAAACCACCTACAACAAGAACGTGCAAAAAATATTTATCAAATGCAATATTACAACCACATTCACTTTGAACAAATCCGGTAAAAGGCAAATTCGCTAAATAATTTTAACGCTTTTCCCAAAGAATCTATTAAAATAATATTAGATTTAAAAAAAAAAACCTCTCTAAGTCAATGAATGATGTGAAAACTTGATCAAAATCAATATTACTAAAGTTGAGATCATCCTGATAAGGAATATAGCGCGGTGGCCTGCGATGGCCATGGACAAGGCTGACCAGGGACATCAAAGTCTCTCACCATCGCTGGCCTATTCAGTAAGATTGAGAACTCAGTCCTTTCAAAGATCTCTCTCACTGGCCCATTGCACAACTCTCATAACAACGTAAAGGGAATCTACAGATCCAAGAAAACAAAACAATGTTTTTTGTCACTGGCTTAGGTCCGCCTTCACTCCTCCCCCACCGGCAATGGCCACGCTCGCATTAGGATTTCCCTATAGGAAAGCATTTGGTAATGCTGAATGTCCCCATGCATAGCGTGAGGATGTCTAGCGTCAGTTAGGCGACCAAAAAACATAGTCTTTTAGGCGACCTAACTGCCTCATAGTAAATACCTAACTGCAATGATATTTTAAATTTCAAGGTTTCAGTAAATCTATGTACTTAACTAGTTCTGGTGCCAACTAAAATATGAATGGTTGAGATGTCTATTAAACAGTGAGCAGCCTGTGGCTGCACACTGTTAAAAAAAATTAAAAAAAATGACCTATTTCCCCCCTGCCCCCACCCCTGAGTGGCGGGTGGGGGCCCAAAAGTAAAGGATGGGGGGACCTATTGTCCTCCCCCCCGGCCCCCACCCCTGAGTGGTGGGTGGGGGCCCTAAATACTAATAAAGGAGTTAAACCATTCACCAACAGTTTAACCTCAAAGTCTGGCAACCATAATGTCCTCCCCCCTGGCCCCCACCCCTGAGCGGTGGAGGGGGGCCCTAAATTATAATAAGGGGGGGGACCTAATGTCCTCCCCCTAGCCCCCACCCCTGAGCGGTGGGTGGGAGCCCTACAGTAAAATAAGGGGGGACCTAATGTCCTCCCCCCTGAGCGGCAGGTGGGGGCCCTCAATTGGAATAAGGGGGGGGGATCTAATGTCCTCTGCCCTGGCCCCCACCCCTGAGCCGTGGGTGGGGGCCCTAAATACTAATAAGGGGGGGAACTAATGTCCTCCCCCCTGGCCCCCACCCCTGAGCGGCGGGTAGGGGCCCTAAATTGGAATAAGGGGGGGCCTAATGTCCTTCTCCCTGGCCCCCACCCCTGAGCAGCAGATGGGGGCCCTAAATACTAATAAGAGGGGAGACCTAATGTCCTCCCCCTGGCCCCCACTCCTGAGCAGCGGATGGGGGCCCTAAATACCAATAGGAGAGGGAACCTATTGACCTCCCTCCCCGGTCCCCACCCCTGACCGGCAGGTGGGGGCCCTAAATAAAAATTTTACCCCCCCCCAGGTGATTAGGGGTCCCCAAAACCCTAGTCACCCCCCAAAAAATTAACCCCCACCTACCCCCCTCACCCTAAAAATAATGAAGGGGGTACCTTTAACTGTAAAAAAATAAAAATTACCATTTGATGTTTTCTTTCTTCTAAAATCTTCTTTTTTCAGCCCCCAAAAAGGCCAAATAAAAAATCCATAATATTGGTATTTAGGGCCCCCACCCCACCGCTCAGGGGTGGGGGCCAGGGAGGAGAACATTAGGTCATTAGGTCCCCCCCCCTTATTCCAATTTAGGCCCCCCACCTGCCGCTCAGGGGTGGGGGCCAGGGGGAGGACATTCGGTCCCCCCCCTTTATTCCAATTTAGGGCCCCAACCCATCGCTCAGGGATGGGGGCCAGGGGGAGGACATTAGGTCCCCCCCCTTATATTACTGTAGGGCCCCACCCACTGCTCAGGGGTGGGGGCCAGGGGGGAGGACATTAGGTCCCCCCCTTATTCTAATTTAGGGCCCCCACCCACCGCAGTATAGCGAGTAGGGGCATAATTTACTAATACTAAGTAATCTTTAATTGGTCTTTCAGCCTTTTAGTAGATAGCTCCCTAATACCGTGGGAATTAGGGAGTTATCTACTTATTCATTCCTGTCATTACACTGACTGGCTAAGTAATTTACATTTTATATGAATGTATGTTACTTGATTGTTGTAAGTGTTGCAAGTATATTAGTGCTGGTAAGTATATTAGTTCTTAGGCAATACTGTGCTTCGGAACTTCGACACTTCGGCACTTCGGAACTTCGTCAACTTGGGAACTTCGGAACTTCGACACTTCGGAAATTCAGTCATTTCGGAACTTCGGGACTTCAACCATTTGGCAATTCAGCAATTCATCTATTCGGACATTCAGAAGTACCCGAATGTCCGAATTGCCCGAAATTCGTCCAAATTCACATTCGGACTGAATCGAATTGCACATGTCTAACACTAACTGCCACCCACTCCTCCTACCACAATATCATCCTGGAAGCATCGCTTCCTCAGTGATCATTCAATTTGATGCTTCTCACAGAAAAGCATTGAGGGTGATTTGCGCATGTGTGTCGAGCATGGTGCATGTACAATCAAATGCGTCTCATAGGGAACCACAGGAAAGTATATTTGATGAGGTTTTGGATAGTAATGTTACTTTAATTATAATATTTATTGGGTATAGAGCAGATATGATATGCACTGTGGGTATATACATCTAAGCAATGCTCTTACAACAGATTATAAAAATATACTTTAGCTCATTTAGCACTAACACTATTTAATTTGTCTCCCACGTTGGAATTAGTTAGCCCCACCGACATTGGGGTACTGGGAAGTAGTGATGGACTTAACACAATATGGCCAAATGGTGGAACTGAATCCCCAAATTTGTTTGCCGAGATAGGTGATTTTAAGAAGTCTTAAAAAATTCAACTTGTATTCAACTTGTATTTTTATGTTTGTGCTGTCCCTTAATATGTATTCTGTATACAGTTTGGTTACTAAGGCAGCACAATTGCTGTGAAATCCATGTTCTGGGTATGCCCCAAATTCCCTTTTTGTCTCCTCATATGAAAGCATTGAATATAATGTCCAATGCAATGAGTGAGGATGTCAAATGCCATATTAGACAAATTCGGACGTTGTAGCTGAAGCGACTGTCTGTTTGACTGACACTAAAGGTGTGTTTAAAGGACCACTCTAGGCACCCAGACCACTTCAGCTTAATGAAGTGGTCTGGGTGCCAGTTCCAGCTAGGATTAAACCTTTTTTTCTATAAACATAGCAGTTTCAGAGAAACTGCTATGTTTATAATAGGGTTAAGCCAGCCCTCATTGACAGCCGCTAGAGGCGCTTGCGTGATTCTCACTGTGAAAATCACAGTGAGAGCACGCAAGCGTCCATAGGAAAGCATTGTAAATGCTTTCCTATGCGGCCGGCTGAATGCGCGTGCAGCTCTTGCCGTGCGTGCGCATTCAGCCGAATGGGAGGAACAGAGGAGGATTGGAGGAGGAGAGCTCCCCGCCCGGCACTGGAGAAAGGTAAGTTTTAACCCCTTTCCTCTCCCCAGAGCCGGGCGGGAGGGGGACCCTGAGGGTGGGGGCACCCTCAGGGCACTATAGTGCCAGGAAAACGAGTATGTTTTCCTGGCACTATAGTGGTCCTTTAACCCTGCAATGAAATTTTTCTACAAAACAAGAACAGGATTACTCCACCCAGACTACTTCATTGAGATGTTTTCAGTGGTCCTTTAGATTAGTGTGCTTTATGAAATTATATCCTTTTTCTTCAGCTTGTGTGAGTGGCCCAGAGTTGGATATGGTTTGCAAACAGCAGCCCCTTACTGGAGGCTGTGGTCCCTACAGAATTTAACTAAATGCACATTTAGTAAAGGAAGCTAGGTTACCTTCTGCACTCTTTTGACACGGGGGGGTGCCCTGTTTATTTTTATAATAGGTGCCCCACCATGGGGGCATGGGGAACCTGTGCGAGGATCCCATTTATTGGATTTTGGTGTGTGTGTCTTTTTTTTCCAACAGTGATCAGTCACTGGCTGCTCACTCTTTAGTAGAAATGTCCCTACTCACGGCATAGCGAGTAAGGGGAGGAGGGAGATTTTAATGTCCCTTATGCTTATATTGGAGTCATATTGACCCCCATAGAGTGAGGAGGTACATGGGGGGGGGGGGAGGTTTGGAAGTGGTAGGGAGCACAGCTCCCAGCAGCTTCTATTTTACATATCACAAGAATGGAGCCGCCAACCGGTAGCTTCTTACTTGTAATAAACTAAATGAACGAACAAAGATCCTATTGAAATTTGGTCTTCATTCGTTCTTTTTCATTTCTATTCGTTCATTTTGTTCATTAGTCTTTCTAATGAATGGACATATGCCTGATAGGATTGCCTATTCTGCATGTTAAAAGCCCATCTCTACCTCCTGCCTGTCAGAGCTGCCAGGAACAAGAAGAACAAACACCAGAGTTCCCAGCGATGCAGTTACAGTCCAGCTAGAGTTAAGGGACACTGTAGACACCCAGACCACTTCAGCTCATTGAAGTGGTCTGGATGCCAACTCCCATTATCCTTAACCCTGTAAGTGTAATTAATGCAGTTTTTATAAACTGCAATAATTACCTTTACGGATCAACTCCACCTCTACCAGACAGCCACTAGAGGGACTTCTGGCTTCTTATATGACTTTTGGTCATCTAAATGACGCTGGACGTCCTCACGCTATGCATGAGTTACTAGAGTTCCCATAGGAAAGCATTGGGCGGAGCCTGACCCAGCGCCGAGGGACATCGCTTCAGCGATGTGGGATGGGGGGCAGGAGGGAGGGCGCGCTCCAGGATTCTCTAGTGCCAGGAAAACGGGTTTGTTTTCCTGGTACTAGAGAATCCCTTTAGTTGTGCTTCTAGGAGCTCTAAGCACTGCCCCCTGCTGACCAATCTGTAGTAATGTGTGATGTCACATGCAGAGTGTGAGCCATCTGGACTGTGCTTAAAGGACCACTATAGGGTCAGGAACACAAACATGTATTCTTGACCCTATAGTGTTAAAACCACCATCTAGCCCCCCCCATAAATAAACATGGCTAATGGAGAGGGAGAGGGGGCTAAAAATAACTAATAGAAGGGGAACGGGGGCTAGAAAAATGGCTAGTGGAGAGGGAGAGAGGGCAAGAAATATGGCCAATGGAGAGGGAGAAAGGGCTAGAAACATGGCAATGGCGAGAGGGAGCTAGAAACTGTGTCTAATGTTAAGGTAGAGGGGGCTACAAATAAGGCAAATGGAAGGGGAGGGGGGTGGCTATTAATCGTTCCACATTGAAAATTTTATTTTACTCATTGTGTTTTGTGATCTGTGACTACCAAAATATAAACTGAAATCTCAGACTTATAATGTACTCACTAAATGAAATTAATTGAACTAATGTCAATTCTGTGCATATTTTATGTCTGTCGTCAGTGCGCACTGCAATCTGTCTACAGGTGTAACCATTTCTCCTCGTCTGTTCTCCCTCCTCCCTGTCCACTCAACTATTAGTTTAATCCCCCGCTCTCCCTCCTTCCCCATTCACTCTCTATCCCCCCCTTTCACCAGCTCAGAGTAAGAAGCCTTTGAGTGGACCTTGGTGTGACTCTCATGAGAACAGATAAGGCGCACTGGGAGCTTTGCTCAGCACCAGATTAAGCTAAGTAAAACATCATTTAAAAATGCTCTTTAAGCATTTCTTTTGGGGGAACCGATAGAATAATGCCAATAATTACAATAATTACAGTAGATTATTCACCTACTCACCTCCCTTCCTTCAGCCGAGCTCCGCATGCAGGGACTCACAGGGAGGTTGCAATGTGGCGCCTCATTGGCTGGCGGCTGGAGTGTCTGGATGCAGAAGACAGCTTGCAGTGACTGGGAGAGGTGAGTATGGTATCGGTAATATCTATAAATCACAAGGCCAATACTGATTATCGGTAATATGCCAAATATCGTCTTTAATACTTGGCAGAACTGATAATCGTTCTATTCCTAAATTCTCTAAGGATGTTGCCAAGGTATAAGTAGCATAATCAATATAGCTAGCTGCAGTGTTTATGGTACTTAGATTGCCCCTGTAATGTAATCAAGCCCGTCATAAACTTCAACACAAGGCCCTGCACATGCAACTTCAGTTCTTCTGCCTCTGTATACATCCATACATTCTATCCTTCTACCCATTCACCCCACTTTCCCACTTCTGTCCTTCTGCCTCTGCATACATCCATACATTCTATCCCTCTACCCATACACCCCACCACCGTCCTTCTGCCTCTGTTTACATCCATACATTATATCCCTCTACCCATACACCCCACTTTCCCACTTCTGTCCTTCTGCCTCTGTATACATCCATACATTCTATCGCTCTACCCATACACCCCACTTTCCCACTTCTATCCTTCTGCCTCTGTATACATCAATACATTCTGTCTCTCTACCCATACACCCCACTACCAACTTCTGTCGTATATACCTTTCTCTTTCTTGTGTCCGTGTTGTCAAATTTCCCCTTCCCCATGTTTCTAAACTCAGCTTACAATGGAGGGTTTCACCTGTAAGGACAGAACACTGGAAGATCAATAGGCAGCACTGGGTTTTAGGACGCTGCCAACTCTCCTGTAATTGGTCTGGTAGAAGTATTGCCTAAATCAGACACCTCTGATAAAACCCAGTTATTCTCGATCTCTAACAGGAAGCCAGGTAGGTACATAATATCACACGCTCCCTGCCCATTGCTCTCCAGGAAGCCGTGCCACTTGCAGGGCTAAAAACACCCAAATATCTGCCTGTCCCGGGCTTCGGGTAATAGGAACCCTGAGTTTACATCAGTGTTATCATTTCCATTCTTATTTTACTTGAAAAGATTAACACTATTTTCAAGGCATCGCATGTGACAATATTGAAAGCTACACTACTTGGCAACCAGGGACAACTGTATTTTAAACAAATGTAATTGCAGTATGATTTAGAAGTATCTATCCTTGTGACATTGCAATTAGGAGAAGCGGAAAAGAGCAGAACGCTCTGTCTAATTTATGAGTTTTATGACATTGAGCTAATGAACTTTTTGATTGATATTCTCAGATCTGCTTACAATATGCAAGAACATTCAAATGTAATTGTGTTTCTTCTTTTATTTATTTAAATTTTCTATTCACATGACAGTAATTTTGCAAGTACCTCAGACGAGACCAAGAAAATTAGCAAAAACATCAGTAAACGTTTTTGTATCCACTATTTCCAACAATTAATTTTTTTTAAAAGGAAATTGCCATTTCCTTTGATTTTTAAAGGAACACTCCAAAACTGCTAAAGAACTTTAGCCCCTTTTATATATATTGCAATAGAAATTGGCACTTTTATAAATTAACCTTGTTACACCACCCCCAGTCCTGTTACTTCCTGGTTTATTTAGCTCAGAGAAACTAGACTCAAGAGGCAGCAATTGCCCAGAGCCACCTGCCTTGTAAAGATTTCTCAATGAGCTGCATTGGGAAGTCTGTGATTGGACAGACATAGAAAGTCTGGGCGGGGTTAAAAGGGGAGGGCTTGCAAAGACATCAGACAATACATCTGCAGCTTTTATAAACTGTTCTTACATATACCACCAATTAAAAATATGCATAATTAAATGCATACATGTTTTCATTGGGGGTAGATCTACTAAATAATGATCTTAAAAAATATTTGTGTCCCTTTAATATTGTCTGTACATTCCCCCTATATTTAGGATATATGCATAAGATGGGTGTCCGCTAAAGAAGGCTCCTTCCTATCTGCTATGAATGAAATTAAAAAAGGCTGGCTGATGGGGCGGCTCTATTTATTCTTATATTGAACTCTACTACCTGTCATTTCAGCGGTGAGGGGAGGATCTAACATATGTCTTGATCAGAAAATAAAATCTTTATCCTGCAACTGGGCACCTCCATTCAGTTGTTGTTAAGAAAATAAGGGTTATGTACATAAAAAGTATTGTATTGTGATAACTGGTGCAAATGTGTAAAAATGGCCCTTGATTTAGCTCCTCTGTTTTCCATTTAAAGGCCATCTACTTTCCCAGCAAAAACATATTACCAAACTAACTCTTGCCATCTGACTATACAGTAGCCAGGGATCGGCAGCCTTTGGCACTCCATATGTTGTGGACTACATCGCCCATAATGCTCATAAAGCCATAAAGCTGGCAAAGCATCAAGGGAGATGTAGTTCACAACATCTGGAGTGCCGAAGGTTGCCTAACCCCTGAAATAAGCCCAGGTCAGCTAAACATAAAGAGGTTAAAACAAGTCTATCAATATATCTTGGTTAAAAACAAGACGCAATACGGCTAAAAGTATGTGGACCTCCCTACTGATCAATGGGTTCAGGTGTGTCAGACTAAACCCATTGCTAACACGTGATATGGAGCAACTGAACTTACCTTCTAACATAAAGAGGTATGCAAACTGGGACTAGAATTAAACAGGCCTAAAAGGGGGTCAGTGAGGCAATCGGTATCACTGGCAAAGCTGCATGCGTTGGATGTGTCCAGAAAGGGGCATGCCAATTATGCTGGCAGGTCCCATTACTGGCTGAGTATGAGCTGAGCACTGTTGTAGTGCCCTCTGCATGGCTCGAGTGCCCTAGTGTCAGATCAGGGGCAGATCAGGGGCAGAGCTAGCACAAGCCAAACACAGCCCTGGCCAATCAGCATCTCCTCATAGAATTACATTGAATCAATGCATCTCTATGAGGAAAGTTCAGTGTCTCCATACCGAAAGTGTTTTTTAAAAACAAGAGTTGTCATAAATGGTAAATTTTCAAGCTGGACAGAGGTGGCAAGTGGTGTCCCTCAGGGGTCTGTTCTGGGACCCCTTCTATTTAAAATGTTTATAAATGATCTCGAAGACAGCATTGAAAGTCATGTTTCAGTGTTTGCAGCTGACACAAAACTTTGTAAAATAATACAATGTGAGCAAGATATTACTTTGCTGCAGAGGGATTTAGATAGACTGGGGGACTGGGCACTCAAATGGCAGATGAAATTTAGTGTTGAAAAATGCAAAGTTTGCACTTTGGCGTAAAGAATACACAAGCAACGTATACCCTTAATGGAAGCAAATTAGGGATAACAACACATGAAAAGGACTTGGGAATTGTTATAGACAACAAACTATGCAACAATGTGCAATGTCAATCAGCAGTGGCCAAGGCCAGTAAGGTATTGTCATTCTAGGGATGAGAATATAATTTTGTCTCTTTATAAATCACTGGTAAGACCACATATTGAATATGCTGTGCAATTTTGGGCACCTGTTCTAAAGAAGGATATTATGGCACTAGAAAAAGTGCAGAGGCGGGCTACAAAATTAATAAAAGGAATGGAACATATCGGCTATGAAGAAAGGTTATAACAAATTTAAACCTCTTTAGTTTAAAAAACATCGCCTGAGAGATATGATGACATTATACAAATATATTCGGGGCCAATACAAACCATTGTGTGGAAATCTATTCACAAACCGGACTTTACATAGGACACGAGGTCATGCGTTTAGACTGGAAGAAAGAAGATTTCCTCTAAGGCAAAGAAGGTTTTTTTACTGTAAGAACAATAAGGATGTGGAATACAGATGTTCAAACAGCTACTAGATGCATACTTGCAAAAACAGTATATTCAAGGATATAATCTTTCAATGTAGGGTAATAACGGCTTGATCCAAGGATAAATCTGACTGCCATTCTGGGGTCAAGAAGGAATTTTTTTCCTATTTTGTTGCAAAATTGGAAGTGCTTCAAACTGGGTTTTTTGCCTTCTTTTGGATCAACAGCAAAAACAAATGCGAGGAAGACTGAATTTGATGGACGCAAGTCTCTTTTCAGCTATGTAACTATGTAACTATGTAACTTTTTTGGGTTAAAATCCAGTAGTTTTTCCCTTATGTAAAAGCTTTAAAAAAATTCTTCCTAATCTCCTTAATCTGATCTAAATTGACCTGTTGGTCGGCGTATTGATCATTTAAAATGTTAAAAGACTGTTTATTATAGTATTCTTTAGATAGAAAAAGGACACCTCCTCCCTTATCTGCTGCTTATCTAAATCCCCTTCCAATTCTTGTTTTTCCAATTTACTTACATTATGCTTGATTTCGTTCATCAATACTTTCTAGAAGGCAATCATTTCCTCCGATATCTGATCCTTTAGGAAGAAGTTTGATTTGTAAATTAGGGTTGTAGGGTGTATCTATCGGGAGTTTTCTCACTATGCTTTGGTTGTAGGGGTTTCTGTATTCTTTTCTTTATTTTAGGGGAAAATATTTAAGTAAGCACAATTTCTATCTGAATCTATTCAGGTCTATATAGGTTTCAAACTTGTTGAGTTTTGCTGTTGACATGACATTTTGTAAGTGCTTTCTACTTAAATGAAAAATCCCAGATGTGTCAATTGTTTCTCTCTTTTGACCTTTACATATCTCCTCCTCTTTCCCCCTATCATCTCCTACATCTCTTTTTTTGTCCTTCTCTGGGTGGTATCTTTTTCGAGAAAAAATTATTTTTCATCAACCAGTTCCCATAGTCTTTCATATCTACTGGATAGTGTAGTGTGATTGGTTGGAATCTCATTTTCCATCATTCTTCTATGTTCTATATCAATTGCATATTCAGATCTTATCTTTGGTCTCACCACTCCTTCAGAATTTGGAGAGTATGTCCTCTCTATTCTTCCTCCCTCTCTCTCTGTTGGGAGTTTCTGATTTTTTTTTTTCTAGGTATTTTCTTTTATATTAATCTCTTTTTTTCTATCCATGTGTTTTTTATTTTTTTCTCTTCCTCTCTGAGTAGTGCATTACCTCTTTCCTTCTTCTTTCTCGTTGCATTTCCTTCAAATTTTCGTTCTCTTCCCCTAGATCTATTGACAGTAATTCCATGTTGTTGACGTCCTTCTCTCTTCTTTATATTTCTGCTTTGATTTTTTTTTGTCTTTGAGGTTATTCCCATGAGATTTAAAAGCTGCTAAGTATTTATTTGCAGACGGTTTGAAAAAAAAAAAACGCTGTATTTTGCAGATACACCAAACACAGAACTGTGGTTTATTAAGCACTTTATGTAACACAAAATGAATTATTCGGGATGCACTAGAAAGCACACTGCACATAATATTTGCTCAAACACTCTAATGCAAGCAAGTCAAACTGAAAAGCTAACAAACAAACCAAATAAAAAAGGTTTAAGTTTCAAGTTATAACCTGCTGGCTGCAAAAAAATCTACAAAATCCCTGCACCACTCTACATAACCCCCTCTACAAATCCCCAGCCCCCACCGCTACATAACCCCAGCGCCGCCTCTACAAATCCCTAGCCCCCCCTCTATAAAACTCCAGCTCCTCCTCTACTAAACGCCAGCTCCCCCTCTACTAAACTCCAGCACCCCCTCTATAAAACTCCGTCCCCCTCTACTAAACTCCAGCTCCTCCTCTACTAAACTCCAGCTCCCCCTCTACTAAACTCCAGCACCCTCTCTACTAAACTCCAGCACCCTCTCTACTAAACTCCAGCACCCTCTCTACTAAACTCCAGCACCCCCGCTAATAAACTCCAGCCCCCTCTCTACAATCCACAAAAATCTCCTGATCACAGCCCGGCAGCGCAGTCCGCCTCAGATAATGCAGTCCATCAAGTAATATCCCAGTGGGACGGCCCAAGCCAGGGCAGCAATGTTATTTTCAGATGCACAAACCCACAAAGTGGTGCCCTAGCATAGGCGCTCCCCAAATGTTAGCTGCAGAGAGAGAGAGTTTAGAAAGACGCGAAACGCGTCGAACTCGTCTGGCGTTTGGATTGTCTCCCCGCATTATACATGGCTGGCACTTTGTGTCTACTTGGATGCATTTCTGCCTCTATGTACTATGTATATCCGGTTATTAATATGTAATGTTATGGGAGGGGGGATTTAACTATAAACGTACAGGAACGATAGGTCGGAGAGGTCCCTGCTCCAGTGAGCTTACAGTCTATAGGAGGTGGGGTATAAGACACGTTAGGACAGGAAATAGCAATTAAATAGGGTGGGAGTGATTCCAGCATGGCGCGACAGGACTGCCCTGAGAGATCCGGGACAGTCGAGAGTAATGAGACCGCGTGACATTTCCACATGTGAGCTTGGTTTGCTATAACTGGCCATAAACAGTCAAACTGCAAAGATTGTAAACTTTATTTTGGTTTATTTTGTATTGATTTCATAATGTGTTTTATGTCATTCATTATTACTCATGCTTCATTGCCTGATCAATAAATCTCTCAATATTCTACGTGTTTACGTTTAAAAAAAAAAAATAAAAAAAATAAACCAACCATGTTTTTTACTCCCGTAAACAGCCATTTCATTTCAAAACTACAACTCCCGGCATGCCCCGCGGCCCGCGTCACTAACCGTCTCGCCCTCACTATTTTTATTTATTTATTGCCCCTCCCCTGTCCGCTCGCGTCACGAGCCGCTCCCCGCCCACACGCGGCGCATGCGCAGCCCGCCTCCCCGCAGACCGGCTGAGTAAGGCGCGCTGTGATTGGTCGGCCGGGCGGTGTGTGAGCGTAGTGACGGAAAGGGGGCAAATGGCGGAGGGATGTTCCCGGGCCCTGTTTAAATCCTAACAGCCGAGGCCGGGGGGTTTGTGTCCGTCTGTTACAGAGCTCGCGCGGTCCGTGTCCCAGCCGCTCCGGCCGGTGGTGGCGGGCAGGGAGAGGCCCCGCCGGGGGGAGAGGGAGACCAGGCCGAGCTGTGCGAGGAGGAGTCCGGCCGTCAGAGCCTGTGAGTGCGGGCTGGGCCTCCCCGGGAGGGAGTTTGGGGGAAGTTTGTGTGAAGTGATCCGGGGATAGGGGGGGAACCAAACTACATCCCTCCCTGGGAAACACTTCATGGCCCCCGGGGACAGCACCCCCTACCGCAACCCGGCCCCCGGGGACAGCATCCCATACTGCAACCCGGCCCCCGGGGACAGCACACCCTACTGCAACCCGGCCCCCGGGGACAGCACCCCATACCGCAACCCGGCCCCCGGGGACAGCACCCCATACCGCAACCCGGCCCCCGGGGACAGCACCCCCTACCGCAACCCGGCCCCCGGGGACAGCACCCCCTACCGCAACCCGGCCCCCGGGGACAGCACCCCCTACCGCAACCCGGCCCCCGGGGACAGCACCCCATACCGCAACCCGGCCCCCGGGGACAGCACCCCATACCGCAACCCGGCCCCCGGGGACAGCACCCCCTACCGCAACCCGGCCCCCGGGGACAGCACCCCCTACCGCAACCCGGCCCCCGGGGACAGCACCCCCTACCGCAACCCGGCCCCCGGGGACAGCACCCCCTACCGCAACCCGGCCCCCGGGGACAGCACCCCCTACCGCAACCCGGCCCCCGGGGACAGCACCCCATACCGCAACCCGGCCCCCGGGGAC